GGGCAGAACTTTGAAATGTAAAGTTCTTCTTTCAACCTTACACTAGCAATTTTCTATCTTCCATGTTGACTCAAAATGTCTTTCCATTCACTTGTTGTTCTGTTTCTTGTACTTGCACATGTTTGACTGTGGCTGGCTATGCTTTTACCTCTTATGTTTCATAGTCCATGTTGGCCTTGGTCAGGGTCTCAGAAACAGACCCCACATGTTGGTCATACTTACTTAATTATCAATTATATTTGCTGGGTTGTTGTTGTTATTGTTAGTGGTAAATGGATAGATAATATTTTATCCCCAACTGATTGGAAATACCAGCTATACTCTTTTTTTTCTGTCTTACATGTGCTTTAATTTATTGGGTGGATGATTTTGTTTTTGAGAAAAGAAAATACAACCTAAGTTTGTTTTCTCAAAAGTAGACAAGATTAAAAATTATTAGTACTTTTCATCATCTGTAAAAAACAAACAAAAATCCCAGATAAAGCCTAGGTGTGTTTTGTTATGTTTTGTTTTGCTTTGAGACAGCCTCTCCCTCTAGCCCTAGCTGGCCTGGAACTCACTATGTAGAACAGGCTAGCCTCAATCTCACAGAGATCTACTTGCCTCTGCCTCCTGAGTGCTGGGATTAAAGGTATGTGCCACGATGCCCAGCAAAACTGTTTTCTGTTTTTTGATTTTAATAACCCAGTAATTTGTTAATAAAATGTGTGCTCAGCTGATATAGAGAGTTCTAGATTTAGAGTTAACTTGCTAGTTAAGCAGGCCTCGCAGATGGTCACGAGTGCTCCATCACTGAGCTAGCCCTTAGCTGGATAATAGACGGATTCTGAATTTCACATGAGTAGGGAGACTTCAGACTGGACCTGCAAGTATAATCTGGTAATGTTACACTGTTAGTCAGCTTTCTGTCTCAATGACGAGTATGTGAGGAAACCAATTTAAAAAGAAAGGCTGCTTTTGGCACACAAGTTTGGAGGCCCAGTCCTTGAGGAGGTGAACCTACTGTCTTAGGCCTTCATTGGGGACTGGCAGGCAGTGGGGGGGGGGTGGCTTTAGCAGGCATGTGCAAAGCAAATCTGTTCACCTTGTGGCTGGGGAATGAAGAGAAGAGACCTGGGTCCCACAGACCTCTTCAAGGGCATGCCTCATGTCCTGAAGCCCTCCACCTAGCCTCCCCAAGTTCCACTGCCTTCTAATAGCACTGAGACCACACCTTCACTGACACACCTGGCGCACAAGCCTTCAGGGGATACTCACCCAAACTACAGCCTACCTGTCTTCTACCTTGAAAAATTACTGAACTAGCAAGTCATTGATAGTGAAAGAGTGTAGACACTAGGAAGCATTAACTCTGAGGGCATGTTTTAGTCAGTAATCATTCACAACTGCCAAGTCTGGCATGTAGCAGTGACACGATATACCTGGGTAGTCTTTGGATAGTGAAAGAGCACACTTACATCTCACAGAAACCAGCCTACCTGCTGGGTCTTGGGTGGCACCCCTCACTTTTTCTCCCTGGTAGAGAACGAATGAGCTAGTATCTGGGATCTCCAGTAAAGACACTGATATCCCCATTTAGGAGACTTTACCCTCATGACTCTGTATCCCATACCTAGCTTTGGAGGTGGGATTTTAAGATGTGGATTTTGACAGTCCACAGATGATTGGTTCTATTTTACTTCTTTAAGGAGAAGATAAATAATCATACATTACAATATTGATTTAGATTGCGAGTTAGTTCCTGTAGCCAGCCTGTCCTATGAGAGGCAAACTGCTTTTAAATACCTAGGGGCTGTCACTTCAGACTTGCTTCTTTATCTCTGGAATCAGATCAGCTGAACTTAGTTCTGCTTTCATGATGCTGTAGAGAGGGATGGGAAGTTAGAAACTCTTTTTTGGGTACAAGGTATGAAAATCATAAAAATCTTCAAGTATATAAGAATAAATTTAGGAATGGAACTTGTATCAGGGAAGGTTCAGAATAAGACCTGTGCTGGAACTCTGCATAGAAGTGATAAATGATTTGTTCCAAGGAGTTAATTCCTATCGTATGTAGGCTAGAGACCTTCAAGGTGTGCAGCTGGTGGCTGGAGACCCATGAAAGTGGACCTGAGTTAAAAGCTCTGGTCTGAATTTAAAAGCATTAGATGAATCAGCAGAACAGATGGTGTTCTCATTTGAAAGCCTGTGTTCCTAAGACCCGAATATAGCTGGGGTTTTTTTTGTTTTGTTTTGTTTTAAGTTTGTTTTTTGAATCTGAAGACAAGATGAGATTGGTAGTCAGCCTTCAGCAGATTGGATGAAAGTCATTGTTTGGAACATTAACCTCTACCAGAAACACAGACACACCCAGAAGAATGGTAGACCAAAGTATGGGTACCCTGTGACGTAGTCAAGTTGACACATAAAACTAACAAGTCTGTAGGAGCTGAATATAAGCCAACAATGGATCATTTATGATTACGTTTTTACAAACTATAACACTGGGTTGAAAAGCACTGTTCTATCATCAGAACTATTACCTTCTTATTCCTGAGTTTTGTGAGTTCTTTATATATTCTGGATAGAAATCTTTAGCCAGAGATTTCCTTTATAAATATATTAGGTCACTCGTTCCTCACTTAGCAAGTGTTTCTCCATCAGTCACTCTCTGCAGGGTCCTGGGAGGGCAGGGGTGAATGCCTCTGGTGACTCCTTCTCTTCCCTGGAGATCTGGAGGGTAGATGCCAGTTCTACAGCCACTGATGATCACAGTTTGAGGGCCTGGATGTGCGTGTGTACCCCTTTTCCAGGTTCCGACTGAAGGCTTGTGATAAGCAGGACCTCTGTGGCATTTGAACTGAGCTGCAGAGGGTGGAGCACAGAGGGAATGTTTTAGTCAAGAGCATGTCCAGCACAAAGGAGGGTGCTGGACATGAAAGAGTCTGTTAAAAGGGCCGAGAGCCAAGGATGGAGGGAATGGGTCAGGTCCTGGGAACAGAAACCTATGATTACACTCAGTGTACTGCCAGGGCTGAGTGGGTCTTGGTGGCTTCCAAGATGGGATCCAAGGCCCGGGCCTGCCCAGAGAACCCTCAATGTGAAGTACTGACCATGAAGAGGCCAGCCCATGACAAACGCTTTCTGTTAATGACTTAACATGCGAAGGGCAAAGTTAGTGTGCTGCCTTCTGTGCATGTAGACTACTGTACTAACATACTCATTTTGTTTGCCAGAGACACATTCATGGGAGATTTATTAGATTTTGTTACGTATTATATTATTTTTTTAGTTTGCATAAAGTGAAATTGGCTCCTGTAGTTATGATTTGGGCACATGCAGTCAAGAGTCCTTCATACTGATGATACAGGGTAATTTTGTCAGTCCCAGAATTCCCCTCTGCACTTCTCAGTGCACCTTCTCCTGCTCTGGTCTTTGGCTCCCAGGATCTACACTGTGGTCTTGGAGTCATAAGACCACAGGGACTTTCTTCAGGACTTTTTCAGGGACTCATCTTGATTTAGTTAGACACGCCACTTCTTGGTTTTGGTACTTTCTCTCAGCAGTGGGGCTGCTTCAGCCTGTTTCCCATTTTTCTTTTAGGTTGAAGTGCCATCCTCTGTGATGTGAGCGGTTTGTTCATTTGCTAGGTGGTATACCCTGAGGTGGTCACAGTTTGGGGAGGGTTGTAAGTGAAGCTGTAGAAACACTGAAGTTCAGATTCATGTGCGTTTGAGTCTCAGTGCACTTAGGTAGATGCCAGGGAGCTCTGTGGGATCCCTGGGCCATGTGATTTTATAAGTGTGCATTTAGGTACTGCCTGATTCCAGGAGTGTTTGCAGATAGAGAACCGCAACATTGCTGTAGTGGGTAGGTACCACTTATTTTGGTGTCACTTACCTCTGTGAATACTTCATGAGGCACACACAGATGTACATTTTTCTGCCTAGTAACCCATACTACTAGGTTTTCATAACCTTTTTATTCACAGCAGATAAAATACTGAGGTAAGGTGCAGTGTGGTAGTAAGGGTGCCATAGTTACTGAGTGCAGTACAGTATGCTTTCTTTTTAAAGATTTATTACTTTTATTTATGTGTATCAGTGCTTGTCTGAGTGAGTGAATGCTAGATGTGTGCAGATGGCCACAGAGACCAGAAGAGGTATGGATTCCCTGCTGTAGGTGCTGGGAACCAAACTCAAGTTCCCTGGAAGAGCAGTAAGCAGTCTTAACTGCTCAGTCATCTATCGCTTTAGCCCCCACAGTAGGCTTTTTAATGCTATTACTTTCTTTCCCTTTTAGGCTGTAGGCATCAAGAGAACAAGAACTAGATGGGCTTTGCTCCTTGCCATCCTCCGGAGCTTAGTGGGTGCTCTTAGCAGACCCTCATACATACAGTCTAGACTGGAGGCAGCTGCCCTGCCATGTGCTCTGACAAAAAGTAGTCAAGTGGCAGCTTCATGGTCTGTCTGTCAAAGGAATATTGTGTAGGCCTTCTACAAGTATAGTCTCCTTAGGAGAAACAATCATGAATAGTTGTAAAGTCAGTAGAACCCATGTGTTTCTTCCTGTCAAGATGTCCCCAGAGTTTGTCTGTCTGGTTTTCAGTGTATAAGCAATTTAAGCATTTTATTACTGAGTCCTGTCAGGATGTTGAAATCTAGCTTTGTCTAGTTCCTCCCGCCTTTAATTATGTTGTGTCTCTGTCTCCCTCCCCCTCTCCCTCTCTTCTCTTGCGCTCTCTCTCTCTCTCTCTCTCTCTCTCTCTCTCTCTCTCTCATAGACACACACACACACACACACACACACACACACACACACAGAGGCATGTGTATACATGTACATACTATACTGTGTAAAATGATGCTTTCGAAAATATGAGCATGTATTCTTGAAGTAGGGAATTGGAAGTATAACAAATAATTATTTCTGTCACATTACTTACAACCCTAATGCTCGGCTTATGGATTTTGATGACCCATCCGGCAACACTGACCTTGCCCCCTGCTGCTGTCTTGCAGGTGTGTACTGCTCCCACTCCTGGGCATGAAGCCACCCCCACAGAGCCTCTACCTGCTCGTCGACTCTGTGGACGAAGGGTGCAATGTGGCTGAAGGGGAGCAGACGTCCTCCAGCTTCTCGGGGACTGTGGCGGAGCTCCTGGCAGGTCACCACGAGTTCTTTCCACCATGGCTGCTGCTTCTCTGCTCTGCTCGGAAACAGAGTAAAGCTGTTACTAAAATGTTCACTGGTAAGCATTGTGACTTAGCACCACCCAGAATGCACTGGTGAGCTTAGTGACTCAGTACCACCTAGAGCACACTGGTGTACTGGTAAGCAGAGTGACTTGGCTCCACCCAGAATGCACTGGTGAATATAGTGACTCGGCATCACCTGAAATGTTTCATAATCTAGAACTGCACCCAGAGAGATTCCTTTTGAGAGCAGAGCCCCTCCCTCTTTAGCTGCCCCATACCTTCTTAAGGTTACATTAAAAATAAAGGTAGTGTTTTAAAACAATTTACACTGATCTTTTTCCAAAATTCTTTCCCTGTGCTGAGGAGAGGGTTCAGTTGGTACAGTGCTTACCATGCATGTATGAGGCTGAGTTCAATCTTCCAAACCAAAATAAAATGAAAGAAAAAAATAGGCGTGGTGACATATGCTTGTAATCTCAGTGCTGGAGAGACAGAGGCAGGTGGGTGCAGCCTAATTGGCTTCAGTTCCCAGTGAGAAACTCTGTCTCAGAAAAAAGGTGGATGGCACCTGAGGAGCAACAATAGCCACAGTTGTCCTCTGGCTTCCCCCACACGCTTATAGGTGTATGTGCAAGATACTGATTTAGTGATTAATTAGCTATGCCATTGTTCTATACATTTTATAACCAATTAATCATTAAGTCAACACCTCTGTAGTGGCACTTGGATCCTGTGAGAGCTTTCCTTATGACAAGGCAAAAAAGAGTGCATTATACAAGCTAACAGGCAGCTATGGCTCTACTGGCGTAAGAGTTTGTGGTTGAAGTGATAATATCTAATACTTGCCTTGTACCCCTTTATGCCAGGGATGAATAAGGTTGAAGCTCCTCGTTTCTCCACTGCCTTCTCTCTTCATCCAAGTCACCCAGTATCATTAGCTTACTTTGTAGCCTTTTTTAAAATAGTATTTTTATGAGTGTATTGCCTGCATGTATGTAAGTGCACCTATGTTGTGCAGTGCTTGAGGAGATCAGAAGAGGGTGTCAGATTCCCCTGGAACTGGAATTATGGACAGTTGTTAGCTGTCATGTAAGTGCTGGGACTCGAACCTGGGTCCTCTACAAGAGCAGCCAGTGCTCTTAACCGCTGTGCCATCTCTTCAGCCCACTTTATATACTTTATAGATTATGTATTTTTATGTTACACAAGTGAATTACCATAGTTCCGTGACCTCAGACAACTCACCTAGTGTTTCCTCATCTATAAGTTAAGTGTGCCTAAGGCACAGCTAGGGCCTTGTAAACATTGCTGCTATTATTACCATTTCACTCTGGTTTGCTAATAAAAGTTAGTTTTGACCTACATTTCTGTTACTTCTTGTGAGTCCCGCGCCTTGGTTTCCCCTGCCAGGTGGTGCCTTGTTCTGTGACCAGCCTGCTCTTTAGCATTCTTTTCTTTGTTCGTGGGCATCCAGATCAGCTCCTTTTTTCTGCTACAGAGCGTTCTTGATCTGAAACCCCAGCTCCATAATGCTCCAGAACTTGTTTGAATATATCCAAGGTATATTCTACCTCATGAATTTGTATTTCCTGCATTTCTGTAAGATATCACCTGAACCTTTAGGCATGTTGTATAGGTGTACATGAAGCAATTGGATTCTGTGATTGGGTACACTTCCTGATCCCCCAGCGATCTCATTATTTGTGTACAAATATTTTAAAATCTGGGGAAAAAAAACAAAACAAAACACACCAAGCATGGTGGCACACACCTTTTATCCCACCACTCAGGAGGCACAGGCAGGTGAATCTCTGAGATGGAGACCAACCTTGTCTACATAGCAAGTTCCAGGCCAGCTGGGGCTACAGTGAGACCCTGTCTCAAAAAATAAAATAAAAATTTAAAAAATTAAAATACTTCTAGGCCCAGGCATTTGTACAAGGTATGCAACTTCAGTTTCCAAAGCTGCATCGTGAATGTGTGCCTGTGTTGATGGTGAGTTACAAGCAGAGTTGGGCTTGCTGAGTTAAGCAGATCAACTCAGTGCCCTTGAGTTAATTTTCTGCATTGCTATCTAACTTGCTCGAAGCAAATTCTCATATATCAGTGTGAGATTGCCCTCTCTGCATTCTCCCTAGCCAATGCTGTTAAGTGAAAGTCTGCCTCATCTGCTGTAGAGTCTTGCACTTGATGTTCTTCTGATCAGAATATGTGACCTTTGAGCTTCTCACCATCTTTCCTTGAGATCACTTCTCAGATGTGAACTGCATACACAGACTGCCTGCTCCATTCTTTTTTATTTTTGGTTTCCCAACTGCTTAGTCACAAACTCATCTGGTTTTATTATCTTCATTTATCTCATTCCACTTGGAATTTGTTCGAATGTATGTTTAGTTGCTAACCCATCTCCTCCACTAGAATGTAGTCTCTATGACAGCAGGATACTGACTGTGAGCACCAATTGTAAGCAAGGACTTGGGCTTTATCAGGTTACTGACTATGAGCACTGATTGTAAGCACGGACTGAAGCCCATTTTAAACAAGGACTTGAGCCCCATAGGGAACTGACTGAGCATTATTTGTATGCAAGCTCTCAGGCCCTATTATTCCTATAGTACCTCCAAGCATTATACCCACAGAAATATTTTAGGTAAGATAATGTTTAAGATGGGGTGGGGAGGTAGCTCAGTTGGTTAAGGGCCTGCCCCAGAACCCACATTAGAAAACCTGAGATAGTGGCATGTGCCTGTAACCCCAGCACTGAGGACCCAGAGTCACTCAGATTGCTGGAGCTAACGTGCCAGATAGCCCAGCCCTACTTAGCAAGTTCTGGGCCAGTGAGAGACCCTGTCTCAAAAACTGAGGTGGATGGCCCCTCAGGAAGGACACCCAAGGTTGACCTCTGCTTTCTACATGACACATGTATCTGCACACATACAAAGAAGAGGAAGGTGGTTTAGTGGTGAAGTGGGACATTTCTGCATCATGTTCTCTTCTCTGAGAATTTTGCTCATATTTCAGTATCACTTTGTTGCTTTTTAAATGCATGGATAGTAATATATCAAATATATACATCAAAAGTACATGAAATTAACCAAATATTATAGCTTGAAAATTAAAAATAATTAGACTGGGGTGTTACTCAGTGGTTGGACATTTCCCTAGCATGAGTTAGGCTCCATCTCCAGTGCCTAGATAGATAGATAGATAGATAGATAGATAGATAGATAGATAGATAGATATAGATAGATAGATAGATAAAGTGTTATTTTCAATACTCAAGGTCTCTAGATTGTTCATCAGCAGGTAGCCTCAGATCTGTGAATCTGTTGTTTCTTTCTGATGGTATGGGAGCTCAGTCCAGGGCCTCCCTCATATAGGCACATGCTAGCCCAGCTTGCACTTCTCAGCTAAACTAACCTTCAGTCCTTAATTCTGTTTTATTTTTTGTTTTGTTATGGAGTCTCACCCTAGCTTGTCAGCATCTTACTTTGTAGACCTTGAACCTGCTTCTGTCTCCCAAGTGCTGAGATTGTAGGCATGTGCTAGTCCACCTAGTCCTTAATTCTGCTTAATTGAATGAGTAGCTATTATTACTGGCACACATAAATTTTTCTTAAGAAATCCATATCTCTGAGTATTTACACCTGGGAGATACTTTTTCAGCTGTATTTTGTGCCTGTTCACATAGCATCAGTCCTGCATTCCTGCCCGTTCCCCCTCATTCTCTCTTGGCATCTGTATTCTCTTTTGCTGCTTTCATTTCCTTTCCCTTGAAAGGAGAAGCTTCAGCAATGCACAGAACTCTCTGAATTTTCATGACTTCATCACTAGTCACTTAGGGTAGTTAAGGCAACCTTTCTATGCTTATTCATTTATGAAACAGGAATACTTGCTTCACAATGCACAGAAGTGTGTGTGAGAACAACTTGAAGCAATCCTTAAAAATAGTTGACTTGGGCTGGAGAAGTGACTCAGTATAGAGCCTTTGCCTTGAATCCATAAGGCCTTGGGTTCAGTCCCTGATACCAGACACACACACACTCTCTCTCTCTCTCTCTCTCTCTCTCTCTCTCTCCTCAATAAGTGTTCTTTAACTCCCTTCTGAGGTATCAGGCCAGCTACTGGTGGCTTGCTTTAGTTTCTGTTTTTGTTATCTCAAATTTTAATCAGACGATCTTAGTTAATTAGCTTTAATTATAGATATTTATTCATAATGGGCTATATAATCTTTTATGTAAATGAGGCTGTACGCATATCACTTTGAGAGCTCTAAAACACCCTATTAGATACCATTTTAGTAATGTTTTATTTGTTAGCCATGGGCTTGAAATTTGCTGTATAGCCCAGGTTGGTCTCTTACTCAGTCGTCCTGCCTCAGCCTCTCTACTATTGGCATTGCAGGTGTTCACCACCATGCCAGGCTCCTCTTCATCTTAAATCATTTTAATGACTTTCTAAAGCAAAAAGCAAACATCCAAGGAAAGGCTAGAGACCAGTCATCTGTGTCACTTCTTAACACAGGTTGTGCTACATTCCTAGGCTTGTTTTCAGCCTATCTTTTAGGTCAGGAGGGTTTATTTTACATTATGAAATTAAAATAATTAAATCTGCAATTGTCAGTAAACAGCCTAAACCATTGAAGGTTCACCTGAACAAATTATGCTCACAAAACCCTAGTGCTGTAAAAATAAAGCCACTTAACGAAAGTCAAATGCAGCTAAAAGTATACCTGTAGCAGCTGTGTGAGCTCACTCTGAGTTCTTCAGTTCTTCTCTGATTGCATTTTCTAGAAGGACACAGCATGAGACACAGACATAGATTTATTAGACAGCTGAGTATTTACCTCATGGAAGAAAAGTCTGCTGAGTGAGTGAGCTCAACACAGTAACATGGCCAGTTCTCATTGTGAAAGATTCTAACATCACTGAGAACAGGGCTGAGGCCATACTCTAGGCAAAGCTTTTTAAGCTCAGGAGCATCTTTTTTTTTTTCATAAGTGGAGCTTATTTTTGAAATTGTTTGTATTAAGTATTTATGTATCACTTATGAGTGTCTATATCTATAACTTATAACTATAGATTCCTCATATAAACTTAGGGCTATGTAGGTATATTATTTTATCTTGTTTCATTGTTGGCAGATTGCGTGTTTCAAGAAATTTTCCATTTCATTGAAATGCTTCAAACCTTTCCTTTCTTTCTCTTTTCTTTCTTTCTTTCTTTCTTTCTTTCTTTCTTTCTTTCTTTCTTTCTTTCTTTCTTTCTCTCTCTCTCTCTCTCTCTCTTTCTCTCACTCTTTCCCCTCCCTCCCTCCCTCCCTCCCTTCCTTTTTCTTTCGTTTTTTTTTGAGACAGTCTCCCTGCAGCCCTAGCTAGCCTGCAGCTAACTATGTAGGCCAGGCTGGCCTTGAACTCACAGAGATCTGCTTGCCTCTGCCTCCCAAGTACTGGGATTGAAGGCATGTGCCACCATACCTGGCTTAAAACTATTATTTTTCAATGAAAATGTTTTCCAGACCTCTTGGCAAAGCCTGATGTTGCACCACCTTTGACTCCCTGCTGCCACCCTCCATAGTCACTTGTGTGCTTCCCCTCTTGTTCACAACTGCCAACACAGCATCTGTCTTTGTTTTTGCTGCTGTAGAACTTGTCAGTTCCTTCATGACCTCGTCTAGAGAGTGTCCTGGTGACTGAAAGGTTTTCCTGCAGTCTTACCTCACTCTTATTCTTGAGTGATGTTGGAGCAGTCCTTCCTAATGTAGATCTGCCTTGACAGTTTCATTTGCAAACAATTATCTAACAAATCCAGGTGCATACATGGTGTCCCTTTAGAAAATGCAATCAGAGCCCCCTTTAAAGAACTTAAAGTGAGCTTTAGATAGCTGCTGCTAGTATATTATCTTCACTTGACTTATATTTGCTGTCTTTATTTTTATAGTGCTAAAGTTTTATCATACTTTGTTTAAATGCATCTTAATTGGTTCCAGCTATTTCTTTAAAATCTGAGATTTAATTTTTTAAATTTGATACCATTAAAGTAGTGTACTTTAAAGATAGTGACTGTTAATAATCTGATTGGATATGTCATCCACATTAAAGCTAATGCATATTCAATGCATATTCAAGTGGGTGATGGAAATAAATATGAGCTGTGTGAAAAAGATCATCTCGTAAAAGCAGATGTATTAGGACTCTTGCAATTTTGCTGTTCAGGATCTCTGAACAGGCTCCTTCTATGGCTATGTAAGACTGTCTGATCACACTTAGTGCTTCTTGCAGAGGAGTTGAGAGAGGTTCTGAGCTGCTAAAAGAACAGAAAATAGCTCCATTCGTTGATAGGAAAATGAAATCATTTTTTTCTACCATCCATGTGCTTTTACACGAAACTGATTTACATACTAGCAGGTATTGATTGATTTGTTTATTAGTATTAGAAGGTATTCTCTTCAGAAACATGGGGCCCTTCCATAATCGTCCTCAACTTATACCTTCTGTCTTCTTTCTTCAGGGTTTCGGAAGATCAGCTTGGACGACCTGAGGAAAGCGTACATAGTCAAAGATGTGCAGCAGTACATACTTCACCGCCTGGATCAGGAGGAGGCGCTACGGCAGCACCTCACCAAGGAGACAGCAGAGACGCTCAACCAACTGCACATCAAGAGCAGTGGGTGCTTCCTCTATCTAGAACGAGTGCTTGATGGAGTTGTGGAGAATTTTATCATGTTACGAGAGATTCGGGACATCCCAGGAACTCTGAATGGTCTCTACCTCTGGCTTTGCCAGAGGCTTTTTGTTAGAAAGCAGTTTGCCAAAGTTCAGCCCATTCTGAACGTGATTCTTGCAGCCTGCCGTCCTCTAACCATGACCGAATTATACCATGCAGTATGGACCAAAAACATGTCTCTGACCTTGGAAGACTTTCAGCGCAGGTTAGACATCCTCTCCAAGCTTCTGGTGGATGGACTGGGCAGCACTAAGATCCTGTTTCATCACAGCTTTGCAGAGTGGCTCTTGGATGTGAAGCACTGTACCCAGAAGTACCTGTGCAATGCTGCAGAAGGGCACAGGATGCTGGCCATGAGCTACACCTGTCAGGCCAGGAACCTCACGCCATTGGAAGCACAAGAGTTTGCCTTGCACTTGATTAATTCAAACTTGCAGTTGGAGACAGCTGAGCTGGCTCTGTGGATGATATGGAATGGTACACCTGTCAGAGACTCTCTGTCTACCTTGATACCCAAGGAACAAGAGGTGCTGCAGCTACTAGTCAAAGCTGGCGCCCACGTCAACAGTGAGGATGATCGCACATCCTGCATTGTCCGGCAAGCCCTTGAAAGAGAGGATTCCATCCGGACATTGCTGGATAATGGGGCTTCTGTCAATCAGTGTGACTCCAATGGGAGGACTCTGCTGGCCAATGCTGCCTACAGTGGCAATCTGGATGTGGTGAACCTGCTTGTCTCCAGGGGAGCTGACTTAGAGATCGAAGATGACCATGGACATACGCCACTCACTCTAGCTGCTAGGCAAGGACATACCAAGGTGGTTAACTGTTTGATTGGGTGTGGGGCCAATATTAATCATACAGACCAGGATGGTTGGACAGCGCTGAGGTCTGCTGCTTGGGGAGGCCACACCGAGGTTGTGTCTGCCCTGCTTTATGCTGGCGTAAAGGTGGACTGTGCAGATGCAGACAGCCGGACAGCTCTGCGAGCAGCAGCCTGGGGCGGCCACGAGGACATCGTACTCAACTTGCTGCAGCACGGGGCTGAGGTCAACAAAGCAGACAATGAAGGGAGGACTGCGCTGATAGCTGCAGCATACATGGGCCACAGAGAAATTGTGGAGCACCTGCTGGACCATGGGGCAGAGGTGAACCATGAAGATGCAGATGGCAGGACTGCCCTCTCGGTGGCTGCCCTGTGTGTACCTGCCAGCAAAGGGCACGCATCAGTTGTGAGCCTTCTGATTGATCGAGGGGCTGAGGTGGGTCACTGCGACAAAGATGGCATGACCCCCTTGCTGGTAGCAGCCTACGAAGGCCATGTGGATGTGGTGGACCTACTTCTAGAAGGAGGAGCAGATGTGGACCACACAGATAACAATGGCCGGACACCCTTGTTGGCTGCGGCTTCCATGGGGCATGCTTCTGTAGTTAACACCCTTCTGTTCTGGGGTGCAGCTGTGGACAGCATCGACAGTGAAGGCCGCACGGTCCTCAGCATAGCTTCTGCACAGGGTAACGTGGAGGTGGTGCGCACGCTCCTAGACAGAGGGCTGGATGAGAGCCACCGGGATGATGCTGGCTGGACACCTCTGCACATGGCAGCATTTGAGGGTCATAGGTTAATATGTGAAGCTCTCATTGAACAAGGTGCTAGGACAAATGAGATTGACAATGACGGGCGTATCCCCTTTATTTTGGCCTCACAGGAGGGCCATTATGACTGCGTGCAGATACTGCTAGAGAATAAATCCAACATTGATCAGAGAGGGTACGACGGCAGAAATGCACTTCGAGTGGCCGCTCTGGAAGGACATCGGGACATCGTGGAATTGCTCTTCAGCCATGGGGCTGATGTGAACTGCAAAGATGCTGATGGGCGGCCCACGCTTTATATATTGGCTTTAGAGAACCAGCTTTCGATGGCTGAGTACTTTTTGGAAAATGGTGCAAATGTGGAGGCCAGTGATGCAGAGGGTAGGACAGCTCTGCACGTCTCCTGCTGGCAGGGCCATGTGGAGATGGTGCAGGTGCTCCTTGCCTGCCATGCCGATGTCAATGCAGCTGACAATGAGAAGCGCTCAGCCCTGCAGTCTGCAGCCTGGCAGGGCCATGTCAGAGTGGTCCAGCTTCTGATCAAACATGGAGCTGTGGTGGACCACACATGCAATCAAGGGGCCACAGCCCTCTGCATCGCAGCCCAAGAAGGACATGTGGATGTCGTGCAGGTGTTGTTGGAGCATGGCGCTGATCCCAACCATGCAGACCAGTTTGGGCGTACTGCCATGCGTGTAGCAGCCAAAAATGGACATTCTCAGATCATTAAATTATTAGAAAAATACGGTGCTTCTACTTTGAATGGCTGCTCCCCGTCCCCTGTCCACACAATGGAGCAGAAGCCTCCACAGTCAGCCCCATCCAAGATGCAGTCGCTGACCATCAAGTCCAGTAGCTCTGGGAGTACTGGTGGAGGGGACCTGCAGCCTTCCATCCGTGGTCTGCCCAATGGGCCAGCTCATGCCTTCAGTTCTCCCTCAGAGTCTCCAGACTCAACTGTGGATCGGCAGAAGTCATCTCTCTCCAACAATTCCCTGAAAAGCTCGAAGAATTCATCTCTGAGAACAACTTCCTCTACAGCCACAGCGCAAACGGTGCCAATAGACAGTTTCCACAGTCTGTCATTCACAGAGCAGATCCAGCAGCACTCGCTGCCTCGCAGCAGAAGCCGACAGTCAGTTGTGTCCCCCTCCTCCACAACCCAGTCCTTAGGACAGAGCCATAATTCACCCAGTAGTGAGTTTGAGTGGAGCCAAGTGAAACCCAGCTTGAAATCAACAAAGTCAAGTAAAGGAGGCAAGCCAGAAAATTCCAGCAAGTCTGGATCAGCTGGGAAAAAAGCTAAACAAAGTAATTCTTCACAGCCAAAGGTTCTAGAATATGAAATGACTCAGTTTGACAAAAGAGGACCTGTATCCAAGCCTGGGAGCAGTACCCCGCCTAAACAGATGCCAGCAGAATCCCAGGGCAAAATCTTGCTCCCTTCCACTCAGGACGCTGGTCGAGCCCAGCCACAGTTCCTCACCCACCAACAGAGTGGGGAGCAGAAGAAGAGGAATGGGATAATGACCAACCCCAATTACCATTTGCAGAACAACCAGGTCTTCCTGGGCAGAGTTTCCGTCCCGAGAACAGTGCAAGAACGAGGGCATCAGGAGGTGCTAGAGGGGTTCCCTCCTTCAGAGACAGAGTTGAGCCTTAAACAAGCCCTGAAGCTCCAAACTGAGGGCTCCGACCCCAGCTTCAACTACAAGAAGGAAACGCCCTTGTGAAAGGTATGATCTATACAGAAAGAATAAACTCCTCAGAATGTCCTTTCCCTCTTGTCTCATGGCCAGTTCCAGCATCTTCCCTCCATCTCATGGCCAGTTCCAGCATCTTCCCTCCATGCTTGTTCCTGGATCTTGTCCCAGCCTGTCTTTCCCTTATCATCCTGTTAAGTGTAAATTCTCCAATCTCTAGCACTAGAATTATCCAAAGCACTTATGTCATGATACACAGATAATTGATTGATTGACAGATGGATGGATGGATGGATGGATGGATGGATAGATAGATAGATAGATAGATAGATAGATAGATAGATAGATAGATAATAGATTAGATAATAGGTAATAGAAGGTAGATAGATGATGCATATAAGATAGATTGTAGGTGATGGGGTAGATACATAAGTGATTGATAGATACATAGATGCATAGATGATGATAAGAGATAATAGGTGATAGATGGCCAGTAGATGATAATAAGTGATAAATACATAGATGTATACATAGATAATAGGTGTTAGGGGGTAGTTAAATGATAGATGTCATGTAGATAGATAACAGTTACATTATATGTAGATGATAAGATAGATAATAGATAATGGGAGTAGATTGGTAGATTCTAGATAGATATATACATGGGATAAGATAGATAATAGGTGATAGCTGTAGGTAGATAGTATATAGATACATAGATGATGATAAATAAGGTGAATGGGTGATAGATGGTAGATAGATTGATAGATAAATAGATGATAGATAGATAGATAGATAGATAGATAGATAGATAGATAGATAATGGGTGATAATAGATACACAGTAGATGATACATAGGAAGATAGATATTTAGTATATTTGTTTTTATCTTCCCCTAACTAAAACATTAGATTATTAGAGTAGTGTTTCTATTTGTTCATTTTTGTGTTCATGTACTTGAAATGCCATTTGAATGTATGGTAGTTTTCTCAGAAAAAAATATATTGAATAAGTAAATGAACAGATGCATTTATGCATCTCACATTAAGAATTCTTTTCTATATAGTCATCTCCCTCAAGAGATTTTAAAAAATATTTTTTTATTCATATGAGTGTATTGCATATATGTATGTGCACCTGTGTTGTGCAATGCCCATGGAAGTCAGAAGAGGGCATTGGATTCCCTGGAGCTGGAGTTAGGGATGGTTGTCAACTGCTAGGCAAGGGCATACCAAGGTGATTAACTGTTTGACTGGGAGTAGGGCCAAAATGAATCATTCAGACCAGGATGTGGGTGCACTGTGGGTGCACTGTATGACCAGGATGTGGACAGCACTCCCATGTGGATGCTGGGGACTGAACCCGGGTCCTTTGCAGGAGCAGCCAGTGCTCTTAACCCCTGAGCCATCTCTCTAGCACCTCAAGAGATTTTTGAATGGTGATAGAAAATGGGGCTGTCCTATAATGCTGATCTTCTGGTTTGGAAACATTGTGTTGAGCTTAGTAGCTGATTGATAAGTGCTCGTTTCATTCTGTTTCAACCAGAAACAGATAAGGATTTAAAGGAGTAAAATAGTTTTATGATCTATCTCTTAGAAATCTTTGTGGCAATGTTCTCACATAACATGAATGGATATGTATTTAGCAAATGCATGTATATAGTGGCAAGATATGTAGAGTATATAATACACACACACACGCACACGCACACATGCCTCACTATGTAGGTAAAGTCAGTGGAGAAATAAGCAGGTACTTGACTTTCATATTACAGATATTTTCTCAGAACTGCATTTGCCATGTTAAATATAGACTGGGGTTTCATTAGGAGTCTTCTCTTGGTTACACTAGTTTTCTATTGCTTTGACTTTACTTCTTGTAACACAGTTGTACTCTGGGCAGCTGGCATCTTGATCTCTTGCCTCTGTTGTCTTTGGGGATATAGTTTAGGGACATAACAAATGAAACACCACTATAAATATCTTCCAATAATAAACACCTTTCAGTGTGAATTGATGGATGATCAATCCGATATCACTTCAAAAACACTTCTAAAATGGCATGTTTTAAAAATACTTGGTCATGTTAGAGTAACTCTCCATCTCATCTTTTGTAAAAACAAAGTATAAATCTGTATCAAATAGTAAAACATGAATTAAAGTAAGCATTTGTGGAATAAGGATTTTCTAACTTATAAGTATTAAATTTGTGCTTTATTTACTAAACTATATAAGTGCATAAATGGCTATACATATTATTTTATAAAGTCTTAAAACTTATAAAAAAGATGCAAGCATTAATTTTTGAATTTTTTGTTAGTTTCCTACTCTGTAAAGCAGAAGATAATTGTGATTGGATTGTCTGCTAAGCTGCTGGATGGAAGCAGGAGAAACCTACAGATTTCCTGAAAGAAGACTGTGACGCCTTCAGTAAGGGTCCCTGACTGACGTCATGTGCCTACCTAGTCAGGCTGCCTTCTTAATATGTCTCTCTGTACTTAAGGAATTTCTTTTTGAGTGCTTCGTATCCACAACACAGAATAAGCCCTTTCTCGAAAAAAGCAGATGTAAACTGCGTTCCCTGATACAACTGAACCCAATTTTGAGTATTTTCCGATTTGGTAAGTGTGCATGTGCCACAGTCAGGTGTCTCTGAAAAGGCAGTGTTCCTTGTATTTATTGTTTCCTTTGTGTGACTAGTATTTCAGTCCCATCCCATTGTCTTGTGTGCCTGGTTCTTGTATATTTAAAGATATTGCTCAATAAAACAAGTCTTACAAATGTTTTTTGTCCATTAACCTTCAAAATTGGATAAAAATGAGTTTTTGTATTGGTGCCACATGAAGGTGAAAAAAAAGGTTTTGTCACTGGCTTTTTTTTTTTACAAGCATCATTTCTAGTGGTTTAGTGATCTGCTCTAAGTTGTTTAAATATGTATTTTCCCAGTAGAGTACGTCATCTTGGGCTGAGCATGTCAGAACAAGCAAATGCCCAGCCACTCGGTGTGCAGGCAGAGGACAGATCCATTTCATTCATGGAGGCCTAGTGCTACCTTCCACTGCCTGCCATTCCACCTCCAAGCAGATGACCGTCATTCCTGAGGCTCAGACATTCTCAGGGACAGCTGTGCCTTGCCTTGTGGGCACACATGTAGACAGCTCCTGGTGTGGCTGAAGATGGAGTTCTGATCCCTAAACCATTCACTGGCTGCCTTCACCTCTTTATCCCAGATAAATGAAATGTAATTTGTTTGTGTATTTGAATGCTCAGTGCTCTGAGCTGTTTTCACTTGCCAGTTACTGCATGACCAAAGTGACACAAGTCAGAACCAATTGGGCACATTTGAATGGCTTAGTTAGATGAATGTTCCTGAACGTATCATGTGCTTCACAAGTGACACTTCTAGCCCATCAGACACAGTACATGTGTGTTTGCTATTGTTATTTGATACAAGTGATGGATTTGTACTTTTCTGTCCACATACTCTTTCCTGTTGTCTTGTTTACACAGTAGCACATAGGATGGCTAGATGCTGTGGTTAAGGAAGGCGTTCATGACCAAGGAATGTAAACTTGGTACAAGTGAGCATATGAGCCCAGCTGAGGCCTCTCGGGGGTTCTCTAAAGCAGGGAGGCAACATAGTGGGTTGTGTGAATGGTGGTCTGTTGATTCAGAAGCCAACGATGGCTTCACCCTTGTGAGTCCTGTTCATTTCACAAGACTCAGATATTCTATGCTTTCTGTGTGCTGTTGCAAAGGGGGATGAGGAAAGAGAATTTGGAGACTGAGCATAAAACCATTGCTACTACTGAAAATTTAGAATGTGTTAATAACAGAGCTCAGTAATGTTGTCTCATGTGGAGGACCATGTGTTCATGCTGTGTTCATAGAAACTCAGATGTGTAGTTGGTTGTGATAAGCATTTCTCACTTGAATCTTTGTGTAATACTTTCCCAGCTTTTGTTTTCTGAAGTCAGCCAAACTCATTTTGTATGTGTCATCTGTGGGTCATAATCAGGACGAGATAGTTAATGAGCTCAGTTGAAGTTGCAGGCGACATGGCGATACTGATGAGTCAAATGTTTCGAGTATTGAGTTCTTGTCCCTATGGGACATTTATTAAATACACTTATTAGGACTCTTGCAAAGCAGCCTTAAAAGTGTTGATTCTGTTGATAAATATGAACACATCCTGTTATTAGAACCAAGGTTACTCACATCTCAGATGCACAGTACATTTACATTATTGCAGAAGAGGGACTTCTTTCTTACTGGGTGTATTTTTCTTTAGAAAGAGAACTCCTAAAGCTGCCTGTTCTATTAACCTTGAATTATTGAAACCATATTTATTTAATTTTATTGTTTTTACAAAATTGCACTTTGTGACCAAAGGGCAAAGATTACTCATCGCATTGGGGATTTGTGTCTTTTCAAAGTGCTGAATGTTTTCATACCCATCCTTTATACATTTGGAAGAGTTGGTAGGAGAAGAGCCTGCTGGGCAATAGGTTTTTCATAAATATTCCTGGGTGTTTTTTTTATAAATTATGTTTTAGAATAGAACAAAAATGGTTTCTGGTGAGGACCAGGATGGCCAGGGTGCTGCGGCCACTATGCTGTGCTCTATGTCAGGGAGGGGGATTTGGTATCATAACTGAACAAAAGGACTTCTGCTCCATTACAATGGTAAAAATAGTCCCACAGATCTAAAACTTCTAAATAGCTATTTTTGAAATTTAAATGTTTAAATTTTGTAAATCAGCTGCTGCCACTACACAACTTAGGATACCATGTATTTTTTTTTTTTTAACATTTTCATAGCATTATGTCACACCTGTTCCAAAAAGTCATGGTTATTAATAAGAGTAAAACCAGAGTCATGGAAAGTAAACATCTGAAGGTTCCAGGGAAGGTTTTGGGGGAAGCTGGACCAGAAACCAGTGTGCAGTGAGTATCTTTGTCCTGGATTCATCTCCCAGCCCTACCCAAACCCTTCCCACCACAGTTACTCACAGGGAGGGGCAAGCCCTCCTCTGTGTTTTTTGGCTATGCAAATGTTTGTTTTGCTTAATGTCCTTCATCAACACATTCAGCAAATGTGGTTACAGACAAATGCTTTCTTTTTATTTTTCCTCCGGGGTATGTAAATAACCGAAAGTGTACATTGAATTTCACATTGTAAAAGTTTTATTTTATTCCTTGTATTATATTATGCAAAAATCCCAATGTATATGAAAGTGCATAATAAATATATTTGCTTTACAGAAGATATCTCGTTTAAATTTTATTCTTAAACCAGTAGAACATGCATGACATGCTTATAGTAAAAGGAGCTTTTATTTTAAGTTACTAATTTTAATAAACATTGAGCAATGAATTTGCAAATAAAAAAACTGAGATAGAACCCTGTCCAGAGGAGTCAAACAGCCAGGATTCAGCCCTTGTGTCCTCCTTTGCTTTGGTGAGGGTAACTGTTGTGACTTTTCTCCATTGCCTCTGACCAAACACATGATGTATCTCACTGTTGTCAAGCCTGGTGCCTCTGAGATGCAGTGATCTAGTAAACTACATATGTGCCCCAGGATTTTCAGATTTACTGCAGTCTTACCCTAGATATTTTTTTACTTTCATTGCAAAACTGATTATTTTCTAAATAAAAGTGTGCTCCTCATTTAGGAAATCTCAGTCCCTTCTGTCTCCCCAGAAGAGCCCAGCGCAGCCGTGTCAGACACCTGTATTCTGTCATTCCAAAGGGAAGGTTCTAAGAAGGCCAGCGAGTTATTTTTGCTTAGTAATTTTATGCCTTTAATGTCCTATAGTCATTTTCTTAGTCATATTTTTATCCCTTCATTGGGCTACTGAAAACACTCTGAACAATTTTAATACCATAAGGTGTTTCAGCAGAAATAGGTGATGCATATCAGAGTATTTTTTAATTTAATTTTTTTTTTTTGAGAATTCATATACCGTAGTTGATCAAGTAGAATCCTCCAGCTGGTGGACTGAAGATGCAGTGTGAGAACTCCACAGCAACCCTAGTTGGGAGAATTCCAGCTAATAGATTCACACACAAGAATAGTATCAGAGTTTTTGGAAAACTTTCATTTTTCATACCAATGAATGCACTGATGTTAGTGTGAAGATATGACACCCAACTGTCAGTCTCACTATGACAGCAAAATTAAAACTACCCAATACGAAAATGAGATAATTTGAAATCTATGCCGTGTTTAGATTTCCACTTTTTTAAAGATTTTTAAAAATGTAGGCTGGAGGGATGGCTCAGTGGTTAAGAGCACTGGCTGCTCTTGCAGAGGACCCAGATTTGATTCCCAGCACCCACATAGCAGCTAACAACCTCCCATAACTCCAGTTCCAGGGGATTCGACGCCCTCTTATGACCTCCATAGGCACTGTACGACATAGGTGCATTTATGTACATGTACGCAATACACTCATACACATAAAAAAATAAAAATATTAAATAAAAATAAAATTGTGTGTATGGATGGATATGTGTGAGTGCCTGTGGAAGCCAGAAGATTCTGCAAGTTTTTAGCACCGTCTATGTATGCATTCTTTTTAATAAAATGGAAATTACTGAGTCTCAGTACGTAAAACCACCAGTGATTTTAGTAGCTACTGCCAGTTTTTTATTTATGTCCACTCCAACTGTAGTTTCTGTTGCTCTACAACTTTGCCACAATTGTTTAATTTTCTCTTTCTGTATTCCTTTTTATTGGGTTGTGTACTAATACTGCCTTGATATTTGAATTTGTATCTATCAGATAACTAGTGAAATTAAGCATTACATGAAAATATATTGTGACATTTTATCTTGAGAAATTACCCATGTTTTTCTTTGGGTTTTTAGGTTTGTAGACTCCTTTTACATGTGGGAAATGTCCTCTGTGTGGCAAATGCAAATATGTGCAAGTATCTTCTCTGCTTTGCCCGTTTGTTCTTAACGGACTGTTAGTGAACCGAGATTCCTATTGGGTAATTGATTTTTCACCTTTCTGTTGAATAAATTTTTTCTGTTCATGGTCCAGATGGCATTTTCCTATGTTTTCTTTTCATATCTCAGTTGCTTTAACTTAACCACTAACTTAACCAGCATCATTCATTGAAAAGTTACCACACTCTCCACTGCGTATTAATGACATCTGAAGCTTCGTAAGTTTTCATGTGGAGGTGCGAGTTCTCTCACTTTTTTCCTGCCTTAGCATCTATTAGTCTACTCATTTCCATGGAAATTTGAAATAGCCTTCTTTAGCTTTGTTGTTAAAAAAAAAATTCCAGTTTTATATTTGAGACAGGTTGCTGCTGGGTGAGGGAGAGTATGACTGGATGGGCTGACTAGACTCCAGTGGACACATTTACACTAAAGGACATTTGGGTACAAACATCTGAATGCATAGGACTCAGCACGTATGGCAGAGTGCGTAGGGTTCAGTTTTGGGGGGGATACATAGGGGAGGGATGTGAGTGGGAAATATATGAAATTTTAAAAGCTCAATTAAAAAAAAAACAAAACACCAGTTTTAGGGTTGACGTAATGACTCAGAGAGGAAGGGCACTTTCAGCCAAGCTTGGGGTCCTTCCCTGGCACAGGCATTGTAGAAGGAGAGAACTGACTCCTGCAAGTTGTCCTGAATTCTGCATAACACACACACACACACACACACACAAATACAATTTTTAAAAAATTTCTGGTTTTGTTTCAGATTGAATTAATTCCACAAGTGTCAGAGTGACATATCTTGCTTTTTCCAATAAAGTAGTGTTTTGTGTTTTTTGTTTTTTTGTTTTTTTTTTTTTTAGTAGTTTTTGAGGCAAGGTCTTATGTAGCTCAGGCTGGCCTCAACTCACTATATAGCTGAGGATGACCTTGAACCCCTAACCCTCCTGCATCCTTCCCAGTGCTTGGATTCATGCATGTGTGACTATGGTCAGCTAATTTGATGAGTATATAAGATAAAAATTACTCCTATAACTGAAATAAGGAATACTCCCAGTTCCTCAAGGCTCATTAATAACCAACTCCCTTTGAAGTCAGTGTCCACCACTCACTGCTACATTGAACATCCACTGATTTGATTTCTTACTAGTTTTATCTTTTTAGAATTGTCTTGTAGGTGAAATCATATAATAAATAACATGCTGTACCTAGTGATTTTATTTATATTTTGTTTGATCCGGATTGTTTTGTTTTTGAGACAGTCTGTCTGTATGTCCCAGGCCAGCCTGGTTCACTTCCTAGCCCAGACTGGCCTTCATCTAGTAGTCCTCCTGCTTCAGCCTGACAGATTTAGTGTGACACCTTGAGATGTGCCATGGTGTAGCATGACATTTAGAGTGACATGTAGAGTGACATGACATTTTTCTTACTATTTTATTCATTGAGAATTTCATACATTTGTACAATGAAATATGATCATATGAACCTCCCTTCTCTCTCCATACCCCTTAAACATGTCCCCTTTCCCAACTTTGTCTTCTTTTTAAAATTTTTTAAGTTTATTTTTATTTTATGTGTATGAGTGTTTTGCCTGCTTCAGTGTAAGTGTGCCAATGTTGTGCAATGTCTGTGGAGGACAGAAGAGGCATCAGATTTCCTGGATCTGGAGTTATGGATGGTTGTTAACCACCATGTAGGTGCTGGGAGCAGAACCCAGGCCTTCTGCAAGAACAACCAGTGTTCTTAACTGCTCAGCCATCTCTCCAGGCTCTCTCTTTTTTAAAAAAATAACCCCTAAGTCTGATTACTATCTCCCAAATGTACAAGTAGCAGGTCATCCTCTGAAGAATGGGAAAGCTGCCAGTGGCCACACCCTCAAAAAATGATTCGTCCTCCCCTCCAGCAGCTATTAGCTACCAATAGCTCCGCAGTAAAGGGTGGGGCCTGAAGAATACCTCATCCATGACAGAATTTTGTCTGGCTTCATCTTGTGCAGGTCTTGTTCAGGTACACACGGTTGCTGTGGGTTCATGAGTGTGATAGCCGTGTCATATCCAGAAGACAGCATTTCACAGCACTGCTCCCCATCTGACATTCTTTCTGCCTCCTCTTCCTCTATGTTCTGAGCTGTGGGGTGTGGTGGAGCCACTGATAAAGATGTCCTATTTAGGACTGAGTACTCACTGTCTTTGATTCCCAACACTGACCAGTTGTGAGTCTCTGCATTCTGTTTACTGTAAAGAGAAGCATCTCTGACCAAGGTTTAGAGCAGCCTTGGTCTATGAGTATAAACATAAATATTTAGAAGGCAGTTTAACATATGGCCTTTTAATCCTCAGTAATATTCAGTATCTCATCTTAAGGCTACAGCATAATTTGTTTATAAATTTACAAGTTGATTATAAATAAATAGTAATTACAAGCTTGCTTTGTTCACTCATTTCATTTGTATTTGATAAATACCTAATTTTGTCAGGTTGCAAGATGAGTTATATTTAAATTTGAAAGAATTTGATAAAGCTTATCCCAAAGTGGATATGTCCTTTTGCATTCTCAGTAGCAATGGATAAAGTTTTCAGTTTCTCCACATTAAAAAAAAAAAAAAAAAGTGTGTGTATGTGTGTGTGCATGTGTGTGTGTGTAGGTTTGTGCATGTGAGCGCAGGTCCTGGTGGAGACTGGAGAGGGTGTTGGGGATCTGGAGCTGGTGTTACAGGTGGTTGTGAGCCACTCCATGTGCGTGCTGGAAACAAAACTCCAGTCAACTGCAAGAACAATACGCACTCTTCATCTCTGAGCTATTACTCCGGCTCCATTTTGTTCATATCTAAGATTGTCCATTTTTAGTTGAAGTTTTAATTGAGATGATTGTAGAATCCTATGCACTAGTGAGAAATACGACAGAGCTGATGTGAGGCCTTTCCCAAGGCTCCTCCCATACTGGCATCTTTCAAAACACTATCACAGTTTGCTAACATGGATGTGATCATCTTATGAAGATCTCCCCCATTTTCCTTGCACTTTGAATGTGTGTGTGTTTGTGTGTACACCTTGTTAATATCTACCAAAACAACCTCAAATTTTGGAGTGCCACTGAATTTATCCATACTCTTGGAACAATTAACTACTTAGGAATTTGTCTTCTGATCATAGAAGACAATATATCACTCAGCAAAGATTTATAGTTTTCAGTAAATAATTCTTGCCCATATTTTTTAATTCATGCCTAAGTTAATTTTTTTGCAAATTTGCCTATGTCTTCTTTCATTTTTTTGTTCTATTATATATATGTATATATATAGATATA